CAAAGGTGTGTTATTTTAAGGTGTGTTATTGAAAAAAGGTGTGCTATTTTGGGGCACAAAAAAAGATGTGTTAGTAGAAAAAGGTGTGTTATTGGAGAAAGGTGTGCTATTTTAAAAGGTGTGTTATCTTCCAAAGGTGTGTTATCTTTCAAAGGTGTGTTAATTGAGCACACCTTACCCTTACTCGAAAGGTGTGTTAGCTAAAGGTGTGTTACAGAACACAGCTTTTGCGTACACTGTGTTCTGCTCAGCACACCTTGGTGTGTTTTGTAGCACACCTTGGTGTGTTCAGTGACAAGAAAACACACCTTGTGTGCTATTTTAGCGCACCTTGTGTGTTACATAACACACCTAGGTGTGTTGTTTAGCACACCTATTTTTAAGAGTGTTCACTCGATGCGGATGTAATCGGCTATCAATGTGTATAAATGCTATACACTGCCACATACCTCGGTAACCTCGCTTCGATTTATTAGAACGTAGACTCCTCCAAAATTGGGGATGGACACCCCCCTAATGTGCGCCCCTGGTGACCAAACGACGAGAGTGCAATTTGGAGGATATGAAACAATCATAATTCATGAACCTTAACTAATCATATGGTCAATGAGGCGCATTTACGAATTTGTAGCGATAATGTAGTGAGTAGCCTATATAACCTTGTTCGTCAACGAAATCGGTCCATCTTGGAAAAAGGTATGATATACTGTTAATAAGTCCATATAATGAGTTGTGCGGTTACATGGGACATAAACATAGATGGATAAAATTAAGAGTCGTAGATGGGTATTACCGTTATGATACTGAGTATTTTAATAAAATGCATGCTTTTTTTCGACATTTGAACTACTTATGTCATATAATTATAATCATCCTGTGGCAGCACGCGACTGAGTGTAATATATTTGAAATGTGGAATTAACAATCGGCTTTCTAATATCAAAATCAATGCGCCTTTAGATTTACTACCGAATAGTCGTATGGCTCATTATCGTATATCTATAGAATATTTTCCGCTATACACAGCAACTACATGGTAATCTAATTGGTACTTGGTAGCACCAGATTACTATAGTATTTACTACCGCGTGTTTGCGTGTATATGTTTTTTCCTACAAAACTAAAGATTAGTAGAATCGAAAATGTCAGATTAGTAAACTAGAATTCAAGTCACTGCATGCGCTTTACATTTATTACCGCGTAACGAATACAGTGATCGAATGTATTATTTCAGCCTCTAATAGCAGTTTACCGATTGGCAAATCACGGAATTAAGTTGGCTGGTATTTATAAATATACTGTATGTTCCTAACAGGTTCTGTCCTTAAGATTAAAGATGATTTAATTTTCGTTTATTAAAAGCATATTTGAGTGAGGTTTAGTGAAACATATAAATTGGCTGAAAACGCGAAGTCGATGACTCATCAGATAATCAAGCTCTGACACTTATACATTAGCATACCTGATATTCAAACCCATTGATACTGTTAGTCATTATTATCGTGCATTTTTCATTTGAATAAACGTTTATATTTGTGTAATGTTTGTCTATATAACCATAAATCAGGTCCAATGTTTTTGCATAAACGTTTCCCAATCATCCAGTGGCAGCGCACGACTGAATGTAATATATTTGAACGGTGGAATTAATAATGCTTGCTAAAATGAAAATCAATGCGCTTTTAGATCTCCTACCCAGTCTTAATGACTCAGTCATAGAATGTCTTATGTCTTCATGCAGCTACACGGCAACTACATGAGTGATCTAATTGCATGGTATTTGATAGTAGAACCAGATTACTATAGTCTTGTATAAAAGTATAGAATCAAAATCTCTGACCTTTAATTACTCTTTAATAGATTTACTACCGCGTGTATATATATGCTTTTCGCTACAAAATTAGAGATTAGTAAAATCGGAATTATCAGATTGCTAGAATTAAAATCACTGCGCTTTAGCCGGATTTACTACCGCAGGCCTATATCGAATACAATATCGAATATAATTCCGCCATTTTTTCTACATTTAATAGCAGTTTAATTAATTACGATTGGCAAATCGCGGAAATCCTATATCTACATCTACAGTATAATATATAAGTAATATATAGAGGTAGTGACTTTCAATTATGTTTATTAATTTATTTCACGGAGCTTAATTATGTTCCGGTTTATTGAAAGGTTTAATTACAGGCTTATTTTAGTTTAAAAACAGCATTTTCGAAGAGTTTACAATCCGAGATCCGCTCACATCTTTTGAAGCCCTATAGTTACAGTTTATAAACTCATGTACCCGCCACTTCTGCACATGCAGTCAAGGTATTGCCAATTTGCCATTACGGCATTAGTAAAACATTTATAATTTGCGGTTTAAATCGGTCAAACTCGACCGAACCTCAACCTAACCTCAACCTAACAGCGACCGAACCTCAACCTAACCTCAACCTAACCTCAATCTAACCGCCACCTAACCTCAACCTAACCTCAACCTAACCTCGACCTAACCGCGACCTAACCGCGACCTATCCGCGACCTAACCGCGACCTAACCGCGACCTAACCTCAACCTAACCGCGACCTAACCGCGACCTAACCGCGACCTAACCGCGACCTAACCGCGACCTAACCGCGACCTAACCGCGACCTAACCGCGACCTAACCGCAACCGCACTGTTAGGTTATTTCTGGACAGTACTGTATATATATATATATATATATATATATATATATATATATATATATATATATATATATATATATATATATATATATATATATATATACAATTACAATTACAATTTATTCAAAAACCGATCTTGCAGCCAAGAAGCTGAATTACAACGGTTACATTTTACAAAAGAAAGGTTTAAGTTAATTATACTATCTAATACTGCTTAAAAATACTAAACATAATAAAATAATTGTAACTTTAAGTTAATGGGACTGTTTATTTCAATTAATTATACTATCTATTAATGTATTTAAGAATATATAATTACAGTTAAAACTAACAGTTATTTTCGAAATATATAAAATCCTCAATGACTGCTGCTTTAATTATTAGAACTAGCAGCAATTATAAAAGACTTTTTAAATCGTTCAGTCTTACATTTGGGAATTTAAAAGTTCTCGAAGTTCTCAGGGAATACGCTACGTCAGTATTCGGATCTGGTAGGAGTGGGTGCAATTTGTGATTTTTATCTTCCATTATTTCTTTGAAGAGTTTGTCGCACGCAATTTGACGTCTCTCTTCAAGAGTTAGAAGCTTAGAATGGGAGAGCGCTTCGGCATATGATTTGGTGGGAAATATGATTTTCATGGCTCGTCGCTGGATTCGTTCAATGTCTTTACACAGATATATGGGAATTCCATAATGAAAGACAGGAGATGCGTATTCGACAACTGGTTGGATACAAGTGCAGTAGAAACACATCGTCTCAGTGGTAGATACTTTGGCACGTTTCAATTGTCGCAAAAAGTACATTCTCTTTGATGCCTTTTTAACAATATTATCAATATGACTATTCCACTTAAAGGCACAGTTCAGCCTGTTGAGCGATGGTTTTTATGGCACATTTCAGCCCTGTTAATTGAAAAAACTAACTAGGAAAATCAATTAAGCATAATTCAAAATCAGTAAACTCGATGTTTTTAACAATATGAATGTTTTAAAATGTTAAAAACATTAAGATTGGTGATTTTGAATTATGCTTAATTGATTTTCCTAGTTAGTTTTTTCAATTAACAGGGCTGAAATGCGCCTTAAAAACCATCGTTCAACAGGCTGAACTGTGCCTTTAAGGTCGCTGCTGATAGTCAAACCCAAAACTTTACTTTGGAAGACCAAGTCTACCTGTTTACCGTTGATTGTCACTAGGGGAGGCTGCTGGTAATTAGTGTTGTATCTACTAAATTGTATTCGCATCTCTTTACATTTGTCCTCGTTGAGGGTAAATTTCAGGGTGTTGGATTGGTTTTGGATATCATCGACCTCAGATTAAATATTTCTATCCCCTCCTCTGGGTATTACATCGGCTAAAGTCGTATCGTCTACGTATTTCCAGAGGTTGTTACTGACTGTGTTGAGGTCATTGATCATAAGAATGTATAACCAAGGACCGAGTTTGGTTCCCTGGGGTACACCTGCCGGGACTAGGGACCATTCTGAATAGCAGTCATTGGCCAACTTTACTCTTTGTTGACGATTTGTCAAAAAATCTCTTACCCAATTTATAACACTCGGCGGAACGTCCAGAGAGTGGAAATAAGTAACTGATGATCGATGAGATCAAATGCTTTCCTAAAGTCCAATAGAACAAGTCAAACTAAGGCCCCGTTGCCATCAGTGGCTTTAGCAACATTGTGGACTATGCTAATAAGAGCTTGCGTGTTAGATGATTTCGGCACTGTTCCATATTGGTTAGGATCCACCACTTTGAGAATCGCCGGTTTAATGAACTGTTCAACTACCACTTCATCGGCTGGTTTTGAGACTATTGGTGTTAACGAAACGGGCCTTAAATCCATGTTTGCAGTTCGTACAGGCTTCTGTTTTGGAATGGGAATTACATCTGCGAACTTCCAAGCAGCGAGTAAACGATTTTCGAGATAAGAAGAATTGAGAATCTTGCAAACGGGACTTGCTAGTACATCGGCATTCTCTTTGAGAAGCCAACCATCCAACCAATATATATATTAAGATGAAAATGTTCTAGAGTGTGCATTATACAATTTCCATACCCAGCGCAAGCAGAAAGATGTTGTCTGCCGCGGATGGGTCTTGAACCCGCGACCTTCGAATTACTAGATCGAGCCGCGGCAGACAACATCTTTCTGCTTGCGCTGGGTATGGAAATTATATAATGCACACTCTAGAACATTTTCATCTTAACATATTACAGAGTGTACAATTACACACTTAATATATATATATATATATATATATATATATATATATATATATATATATATATATATATATATATATATATATATATATACGACCTATATAGAAATTGGACACTGACAACACCTCTTTTTAAAGTGCTTGCAACGATATTTCACAGCATGTTATATATATACGACCTATATAGAAATTGGACACTGACAACACCTCTTTTTAAAGTGCTTGCAACGATATTTCACAGCATGTTTTATTACATGGAAGATAAAATTCAAAATGAGAACACAAAAAACTTGACGAACTTTCTGACTTTAGCTTACTTTGATATTTAATAATGTTGGATATGAGAATTATTCCTTACTATAACGTCACATAGCATGACTTTGTGAAGATGCTGTGAAGTCTGTTTTGCGCATCAGTTCTGCTCATGAGAAAGGGGGACCCGCAGATATAAACATTGCCCAAATGTTGAATCTTTCGAACTTTTTTGAATTGAAACGTAGAGTTTATATTCATTTACAAGCATAGCGAACCAGAAAATTGTTAGATATTCTGTTTGTATATGATATTTTACAAATATAGCAGTTCAAAATGTAAAGAAAGCGTTTGTTTACATTACGGACTTTACAACATTTGGTGGCTAGATATAGTTATCACAAAAACCCAGCTCAAGAATCGCGAACAAAACCGGGTGACCATTTTTACGCGCAGGTCGCGGAAACTGATTAAAAAAATGAAAGAACTTCCAAAATGTCCTGACGTGAGCAGTTGCTCGCGCCATCTCACGTCTTTGCTCGTGTTCTATAGCGTTTTATATGTCAATTGCTGACGTCATTAGACTTTTCCATTTTAGAAAAACAATGCGCTATATGACCTGTAGATAGATAGATAGATAGATAGATAGATAGATAGATAGATAGATAGATAGATAGATAGATAGATAGATAGATAGATAGATAGATAGATAGATAGATAGATAGATAGATTGTTTAATAATTCACTTTATGCAGTACAAATACTGAATTGGTAAGTGATTACAATATAAATAAGACTGAGTACAAATTATATTACATTTAAGAAATTACAACTTATGATATGGCTTACTAAGAAGATTATAAATATTAAAACTAACACTAATTTGTTGAATAACGATTATTTATGTCTAAACAACTAGCGACGACATACGAATTCTTAAAAGTTCAGTACAGAATTTCGGAACATGTATTTTCTTGTTGATTCGTAATTGGTAATTTAATGAAGTATCTATTTTAGGGATTAAATTATGAAGTTTATGGTTCGGGTTATTTAAAATTTGATTAAAAAGTTTATTGCAGGCAATTTGCCTTCTAGCGTACAATAACTCCATCCCAGCTTCCATAAATGCATCTTCGTAATGTAAGGTAATGTAAGTTCGGATATACAATTCGAAGAACCCGTTTTTGTACTCGTTCATTTTCATCACTCAAGTATTTAGGTAAAGAGTAGTGGAAAACAGTGGAAGCGTATTCCAGAATGGGGCGGATACATACGGTATAGAATTGTAAAATATTTTGAATCGCGACTTTTGCTCGTTTCAGCAGGTAAATCCTTTTGGAACTTTTTGTCACTATGTTATTGACATGACTATTCCACTTCAAATTGTTCGCGATAGTAAGACGCAGTAATTTTTTGCTTCTTCCACCACTTGTAAAGGTTTACCATTAATTTTAATAGGGGGAAAGGGATTTCTATTTTTCACAAAGTCTGTCCGCAATTCTTTGCATTTGTTTTCATTCAACCTGAAAAGGTTTTACTCGGACCACTCTTCAATTTCGGACACTGCATGTTGGATATCACTTGAACGAAATCTGGTTACTGTTTCATAAACCGATATATCGTCTACGAATTTTACCTCGTCTCAACAACGTGCTTTTAGATCGTTTATCATCAATATAAATAACCACGAACCCAGCTTGGTTCGTTGAGGGACACCAGCTGGGACATTCCCCCACTCCGAAAAACAGTCGTGTCCCAATTTGGTTCGTTGTTGTCTGTCACTCAGGAAATTTGCAATCCAACTAACAGTGGAATCAGGGATTTCGAGGGCTTTCAGTTTAGATAGGACGATGGTGTGGTCTACATGATCGAAAACTTTTTGGTAATCAACCAAAACAATCCTTACTGAGGCTCTAGCACCGTCTGTTTTCTCTGACCATTTATGAAACATTTTAATAAGCGCCTGGTTTGTGGACGAGCCGGGAATAACATCATATTGATTTACATCTAAAACTTTAATGATTGCGGGTTCTAAATTCTTAATAACCACGAATTCCTCGGCCACTTTAGAAAGTAGAGGAGTTAATTTAACGAAATGGGTCTATGATGTTGGTTAATATCATGAGCTGGCGTCATCTTTGGGACTGGGATGATATTTCGTGCTTCCAAATTGGGGGTAATTTGTTTTCAGTGTAGGAACTGTTTATGATTTTCATCACTGGTAATGAGAATCGTTGCATATTCTTTAAGAACCCAAGACGGGATATTATCAGGCCCACCTGACTTCCAAGGATTGATGGAGTTTAAACAATTCCAGACATCCAGTTCAGACACTGTGGGGACATTTGAAATGGAGTCGTTGTTTGGTACTGTGATTTGCAACGGTTGAAACTCTTGGAGTGGTTCCAGAAACTTGTCATTAATTTTATTTGCAACCTCGATATCACTTAAGTTATCGAGGTAATCAATTTGTAAATTGGAGCGAAGTTCAGATTTGGTAATTGTATCCATTGCACTTATTTTTTAAACTGCACTCCACCAGTTCCTAGGCTTAACATGTTTCAGGTTTTTAATCTTGCAGTCATAGTAGGAGGACTTGCATTTCTTTCGTGCCATGTTAACTACATTGCGATAATATTTAAATTCAATACTATTCCCTGATTGTAAGGCTCGCTGCCGATTCTTAATCGAACGTTTGAGTTTGTCAGACATCCATGGGGCATTATTATTATGTATAGTCCTGATTTTTATCGGTATTATTAAATTAAGAGAATCTGATACAATTTTGTTAAAAAAGTCAACGTTTCCTTCACAAGAGTTAATTAGATCCAAACACGACCAATCTATTGTTGAAAGAACTCTTCCAAGGACCATTTGTTGCTTGGTCTAATATCACGTGATTTAACTACTCTTGGTCTACTCGTATTAATATTTCTGATCTTGGAAAAAGCGATATCGTAAAATGGTCAGATAGACCAAAGGGTCTAGGGTTATTCTTAGGATTATCGAAGAATTGAGATATATTAGTCAAAATCACATCCAATGTTCTCCCACCTCTAGTTGGAAAATTTACAAGTTGCTTCAATTTAAACAAACGAGATATACAGGAGGTCCTTAATCTATTGAGATCACCCATGAGAATGATTCCACAGTTTGAATGCATAGCTTCGGCTCTGGTTAGACAGTCAATGAGATAGTCAATCATAGCTAGGTTATCAGAACCTGGAGTGTGATATATCGCAGCAAGGACAATTGATGATATTCCTCGAGGCAGTTATCTCGGGCGCAGTTTTAGCCAAAGGACCTAAAAAAATGGACTAATTAAATTAGACAGGATTTCAACCTTAATTTGGCTTTGAACGCAAACACAAACTCCGCCATGTGTTCTTTCAACTCTGTCCTTTCGAATTATATTACATCCTGGAATGTGCACTACAGAGTCAGGAATAACATGTTTTAGCCACGTTTCTGTAAAAACAGCAATATCAACTCCAGTTTTCTTGATAACTAGACGTACTTCATCAATTTAAGGTGACAGGGACATTACATTTGATAATATAAAACTTGGAACAAACATTCGATTACTATCATTGCATTTCGTCGTGGGATTAGTATGAGGAATCAATATTAGGTAATTGTGATTCATTGTTTTAGCACCAGCATTCCCTCTTAAGGTATTATTACGAAAGGTTATTCTCACGGGTATATTATATGATTCATAGTTACTATTTATGGGGACAATGTTTAAACTAGGGTCTCGGCATACGATACTCGGTAAGGGAGGTAGTTGTTGTTGTAGTACTGTCGGCATTGGGGGGACCATGTAGGAGTCTTCATTAGGGGCTCTATATGCGCATAAAACCTGGGAGATGGTAAAATGGGTATTTTATCGGTGGAAAGTTTTGATAGGGATGCAAAGTTCGTTTGTGAAAAGGGGATGACCAGTCTTGTTGTTGATGAAATCGGAGGTATTGCTGTGGGCCGATATTATGAGAAAATCGCAATTGGAACCCTTTAGGCAATGACCATTCTTGCACCGGGAGGGGCATGGCACCAGATGTTTCGGAGTTGGATCATTTTGGGGATAATTTCAATTGGGGTCGTTTAGGTGGGGAGTGTTAGAGGCATCCGCATCATCAAATCTATTCGCACTCGTTTCATTCTCTCCATTTGAATTGCTAACTTCACTTATGTTGGTTTCATTCGCTTTATTAACAATTTCATTGGTATAATGGTTGTGCAATAATTCTTGGATAGGATTTGAGTATTTTTCAATTTGATTGTTTACTTGTTTTTTCTCAACATCCTCTCGTAATTGAGATATAGCTTTAGTAATATAGACCTACGTTCAAATTTTTCATGCTGTATTGCACCGCTAAAAACTTTCATTATTCAAAAAATAAAAAAAATCTGTAATGCCAAAAACATTTTACCAAAGAGTACGGCAATTTCCATAAAAATAGCATTACAGAATTTTTTTATATTTCGCTAATTGTTAATTTTTCTTCCAAGAAAAATAATGCACGAAAAAAAATTGGGGGTCGCCATTCTTCTTTCCCAACTATACGAGACGATAGGCCATTCAGGAGTGAATTTCGTGCACTTATGTCGTCATAGCAACGAACTATCTGTGAATTTGAAAGTAGAGATATCAAAATATTTAAAAAACCCAATATCTGCAGAATAAATCCTAAAAATGCGTAGTTTGAACATGTCAAAGTGTTGAATCATAGATCTTGGGATATCGTGCAACGAAATCATAAAACCTTGCATACGTGAGTTTTGTCAACATACTATACACATTAATATGTGTCATATGTCGACAAATTTGATCCGTCACAATTTGCATATAAAACGTCGTTAAATATCGCAAGAAAGAAAGAAACTAAGGCGCTGTTTATATAGAAGCCGGGCTGGCCACCTTAGCAAGACGATGTCGCTGTTTTGTTATGTTTACAGTTAAAATTACCATGCGTTTATATGGACAAACGGATTCATGGCCCGGTTTCGGTTGCCCACATCTCGCGTGAAAGAAACTCGCTTAAGCTTAGATCTCATTATAACGCAAATGAGAACAACGATAAACAAGAGGGGCTCTTTGATGCTTGCGTTGTAGTGAGGACCACTTCATAGAGACACTCACAAGCGGGAGGATGAAACTTCAAAGATGGCGTCGTAACAGCTGTCATTACTAGTCATTTTGAAATTTCTTGACAATATAATCGTAAAAACAATACTGCATTCAAGGACTCAACTAGGCTTGACTTTTTATTCTACTCTTGCCCCAAATGGCCTCGTTTCCATCTTTCCTGCTCCGCAAAGCGAGAACAATAATCGCATGACAACAAACAAAGCCATTTGGGCATGAGTGAAGAGCAAATATAGACAAAAACCAATAATTAATTCCATGTAGTTGTTTGAGATATTTGACCAAATTATGGTACCTATGCGCTCTAAAAATCATTTTCATAAAATGTTTAATTTTCTTAAGTAAGGCTCACATAATTAAATAAGCTACATGCACCCAAAATAATATATTTCATAATTTGCCTAAATGTTTCGGCACAAATCATCTTTCGAGAACAATATATAGTCAGCCATATGCTTGCCTTTCAAAACAAAAATGCGTCTGAGAGCTGTTTTGACTCGCGAATCAAACACAATTCGTTAGAGACGTGACGCCACTTCTCTTCACTTCAAAAATTAGTTTTTATAGATATGGACATGCGTCACATAAAATGTCGCACAATTCAACTGCTAGCACGCAATATGACTTTTTCATTCAAGAAACAACTCCTAGATGTGAAGGTTACAAAAAATACGAAAAGAGGGATTAAGCAATAACGAATTAACATATTTTAGAAAACTGGGCTGAATGTTCTTATTGTTGCATAATTTAGCAGACACCTTGCGCTGTTCTAAAAACAGTCACAAGCGGGCTCAGGTTGCCAGGATGAAAATTCAGAGATGCCGTCATAAAAGCTGTTACGACTAGTCATTTTGAATTTTCTTTACAATAAAAATCATAAAGAATACTGTATTCAAGGACTCCATTAGGCTTGAATTTTCAGTCCACCTTTGCCCCCAATGGCCTTGTTTTACTGCCCCGCAAAGCGAAAAAAATAACGGCATGATTGTCATGCGGTTATTGCATGTCATGTTTTTTGAACAAAGTCATTTGGGCAAGAGCGAAGAGCATTCATAGACATAAAACCAATAAGTAATTCCCGGAGGTTGTTTGAGATATTTAATCAAATTATGATTACCTATGCACTTTAATTAAAAATCATTTTCATAAAATGTTTAATTTTCTCAAGTAAGGCTCACATAAATAAGCTACATGTATACCCAAAAATAATCTATTTCATAATTTGCTTAAATGTTTTCGGCACAAATCATCTTTCGAGAACAATATATAGTCAACCATATGCTTGCCTTTCAAAACAAATATATATATATATATATATATATATATATATATATATATATATATATATATATATATATATATATATATATATATATATATATATATATACAGCTGAGAGCTGGTTTGACTCGCGAAGCATTGAAGCAAACACAATTCGTTTGGGACGTGAGGACACTTCTCTTAATACTATACTTATAGTTATGGAAATGATTAAACTGTCACACAATTTAACTGCTAGCACGCAATATGATTTTTTCTTTCAAGAAACAAGCCTTAAGTCTCCTAGACGTGAAGGTTACAAAAAAATACGAAAAGAGGGATTAAGAAATAACGAGTTAAAAGCTTTTAGAAAACATGGGCATATAACTGCGCTGAATGTTTTTACTGTTGCATAATTTAGATTTAAAATAGATTTAATTGATTCTAATTATTGCAATCCGAACTTTCTCAACGTTTTGTCTATAGATATGAATATTTTGTAATTTCTACACAATTTGCCTTG